CCCTTCAATTAACCCCACAGTATATCGGCCAGGTTGGCACAATAAAGTATATCAAACACAATGGCTGAAGCAAATCATTGCTGATTCTCAAGAAACTAGTAACACTGATAAAGTCCACAGGGTCCTAGCCACCAGTGCCTTTGAAGCAACTCTGAGCATCCTGTCCTTGGCCACTGCTTCTGGGACAAATGAGGCCTTCCCAATTCCACAGGATTTGGGGCAAGTAGAAAACATCCCTCCTCGGCTGGGGACCTACAGGATTCATGCATTCATCTGCTGTTCTCCTCACCAAGATAACACCTAGTGCACACACCTCCATGCCTGGATCTCTACGAGATTTTACACATGTGCACAGCATGCCCAATGAGCAATTGAACAGCAGAGAGGCCCTCACCATTTTCCTTTTATCATCTGTCTCCCCACTTGATGTAAATGCCTTGTGAGCAGGGACATTGCCTACCTGAAAGAACTCCTCGCAGAGTAAGTGCTCAGGGACTGTCTCATGAGGTAATGGATGAATGGATCACTTGAAGTAAAGGGACTGCCTGGGACCTCCTACCTGGAGTGCTTCTCAGGCGACTCTCAGTCAGCTCAGCAATGGCTCCGGAGGTCATGGTCTTTTTCAGGCGAACAACTCCTGATGTTGTGGTGCTTCCTGGTTTGTTGAGCATGTCCTCACTACTGGCCCTCTTGAGCTAAGTGAGGTAGGAGGCAAGAAGATGAAGAGAAAATTCATTTAGTAAGTAGTACTATACATCCATATGATATTGCAGCAGAACTATATACCCAGCATGAGGCACCAGGGGTTCTGCCGTAGAATTCTTACCTTCCATGCAGGAGAACCTGGTTCTATTCCCAGCCTAAGAACCTCATGCGCAGCCAGTATCCATTTGTCAGTAGAGGCCTGAGTGGTGCATGAGGCTGACTAGATTTCAGTGGAGCTTCCAGATTAAGACAGACTAAGAAGACATGGGGATCGACTGCTGGAAACCAGTCCATGACAACACTATGCATCGCAGTGGTCTGATCTGGAAGCTTTTCATTCTGTTGTATCTGGTCTCACCATGAGTCAGGGCTGCCTATAAGGCACCTAACAAATGCATACAATTGCTAAGATAAAGAGGGATAAATCGCTTGGAGTAGCATACTATAAACCAGTTGTTGTTGGGTCAATTCTTACTTATATTGAAGTGTCTGAGCAGTACTGTGATCCATAGGGTTTCCAACAGTTGATTTTTGTTGGGAAGGTCAGCTTATGATTTCTTCCTAGGCTCCCAGGGTAAACTTGAACTTCTAACTTTTTGGTTAGCAGCAAATTGAATCAACTACTTAAACAACACAGGGACCCCAAGAGTAACACTATGGTGTGAAGTACATAACAAAATAAAACAACAAAAAATCCACAAAGCTAGATGAATCTGCTTCTATCACTTATAAGTCAGAGTATAATCTTTATTACTATTGCAAAGAATAGTATAAAATTATGGATGAATATTACCTCGATGACACCCTTTGAATAATCAGTAAAAACCATCTGCTTTCCTGGGGGTAGAAAAAAAAAGGCAAGCTGGTAAAATAACCGTGTGCCACATGAAAGGCAATCAATGATAATGCACAAAATACCAAAGGACAGCAAGAAGTAGGTGAAAAAGTATCCAAAGGATAAGAAAGAGGCAGCTGCGCACTGTAACTGGATGACAGAAGAAAGCGGGACACCTCCACTCCTTGGTCCCTTTTCATTTCCCTCTTTGTCATGAAGATGACTGAACAAACACTCATTCAAAAGCATGACGTTGTGGAGTCAATAGTGGGTCAAACAGTGAACATCCTTAGCTGCTAATGGAAAGATTGGAGGTTAAAATCCACCTAGGAGAACTTCAGAAAAAGGCTTGGCTATCCGCTGCTTAAAACAAAAATTAGCCACTGGAACCCCTATGGAAAAAATTTTTACCCTGACACACACAAGATCACCATGAAGTAGAGTCCATTTAATGGCAACTGATTTTTGGGTTTGAAGTGTGGTGCTGGAGACGGATCCTGAGAGTATCGTGGACTAAGAAGAAAACAAATCAGCCAGAATGCTCCTTAGAAGGCAGGATGGTGAGACTTATTCTCACATCCTTTGGACATGTTGTAAGGAGACACCAGTCCCTGGAAAATGGCATCATGCTTGGAAAAGTAGAGGGTTGGCAAAAGAAGAAGTCAGTCAAGAAGATGGATGGACCGTGGTTGCAACAAAGGGCTTGTGTTAGTTTAGG